TCATCCAGTATATTTCCAAACTACACAACATAACACCAAAAATAATAAATCATACCTGCTATATTAGGTTACTGCATTAATTTGATAAGATTTGAGTTCATATATAACTGAAATAAAAGTCTCTATCTAACCTCATGAAAATGCCAACTATCGCGATTGATCTCGTGATGAAATATCGGCCAATTATTGACGCATTTCAGTACACTACCGGTTGGTTTGGCTCTAGGTAAAGCGATATCAAAGAAATTCTGGATCATAGTGAAATGTACCTTCCGAACCATTGAAAAATTGAAAATCCCTTTTCAGAATGGCTCGAAGGTTTATTATTTTCTGATGAGATGGTCAACGGATAATCAATTTGATGGCCGAGATCAGTTGATATGAATTGTAGTTAATGTGCCGAAATCCCAAAACTGTCATCTGTCTTTCTTAATTGGTGACCGTCAGTAATTATTCTTCCAACAATTATATTATACAATTGTTCTGTACCGAACCAAATAAGGTAAACAATTATTTTGCTTAGCCAAATCACAGATCTGTAAATAAAGGATGATAAACCCTTAGGAAAATGTTTTTCTTTATGCAGTTTTATTTAAAAATGTACTTCCTTCCGTAGGCTGTGAATCTTTAATTATGCGTAAGCAATCATGTGGATGGAGTCCCACTGCATTGACTGTTTCCAGGCTACGGTTTTTCATCCAATTAAACTGACGTTCAAGGAACTTAAAAGATGAAACGCATCATTTCCATTTACGCAGTGATTACCTACTGCGGATTTGGTGAAAAACCATAAATTTTCGTTGAAACGATGTAAAATGTTGTCTTAAAACTTGTACTGTCAGGTGTCTGCCCGCACGACCGATTTGCATCGCTTCACAGGCGCAATCGGTTTCAGACAGTGCGAGATTGCGGCATATATATATAAACTGTCTACTCATGAGTAGTCCCATATATTTTAACATAATGATGCCAGCGACTTAAACTGACTGATGTTTTTACACCAACAGTGTTCATCCCAATCTGGCCATCGACATGTGGATTGCAACCGTTTAACAAATCCATGGGGAATGAAAGCATGCTTCAGTGCGCTCCTCCAGGTCGATGGTGTGTTACAATCGGGGATTGCTGAAAAAATTCGGACTGCAGCCTAATGAATCAACGCCCATGGACGAGCAATGACAGTGTCCAAGAACGTGGTGCATTTGCGCGGGATATCCTTCCTGCCTAAAAGAACAGCGTCAGATCCCAAAGACGGTGCTGGAATGTGATGGATATAATTCATCAACAACGAGCTCATCGACGCTTGTATCATTCCCTCTAATCGATATGTTCCCGATGGGGTACGGTTGAACAAATCCACAGATGATTTGCCTGTCAGCAATAGCCCTTTGACCATACAGGATACATTTGGAAGTGCCAAGATTAGAGGTGCGTGTATTTTCTACTTAAAAGACAGAACTTCAATCAATTGGATTCTTTTTTCCAGGAAATTTGGTTGATGTCTAAGTAATCCGCACTTGTCAGCTGCAACAAAGAAAGCCATTCGGTTCACAAACATAGGTCTGTACAGATTGTGAAACACTGAGACTGAAATGGTCTGGTCCTCAATAGTTGATAGTGTTTTCACTTATTGTGAGTAATCATCTTTTATTCGTGCCTCATTTTGTGCATTACTTTAAAGGAGCACTTTCCGATGCTTTATGGTATTGGTTTTGTTCAAACGGTCTGTCCTTATTTACCTGAACCACTATATTGTGTCGCGAGATAGCTGCAACTTCCCTCTCTCCCAATGAGGAACCACAAATAAACTGAAACGCATTCTTTAGCGTACATATTCTCGCACCTCAAAATTCCATTTTTAAGTCTACAAGCGCTGTGCTTTCTAATTCTAAGACTTTTAAATGTTTGCGATCGGCAGTGTGCTGTGTGGACTTGGTTTTTGAACGTGCCTATACAACTTGAGGATCCAGAAGAAAGGCAAGACTTCCTATCACCCCAAAATTAACGACCTCGCTGACTGCAAACATAGGCTCACCAAAAGATTATTGGCAACAAGGGGAAGCAACTGGGAAAATGCACAGCCTTGGATAATGCTAGCACACCGCGTGTCCGCACAGATATATACGAAATGCACGTTAGTTCGACTGATTTTTGAAGTTACCTATGGACCTCATTATGGGTATGTGGCAGCAATAGGACATTTAAAGTCAGCAACTACAGAAGGCGATCTCGAGTACCCTTGGAAATTTGAGGAAGTCACAAGATGGCACAATGAGAAAGTCAAGAATATCAACAGATGGAGAATGTGCCCCTGATAGGATCCAACGTAAATCATATTAGGCATATAGGGTGATTTTCCAGCTGCCTTAATCAAGAAGGCAGCCACCAAAATGGAAAGAATTCTAAACAATATTGCAAGCATAACATTGGGTATAAAACTTTCAAGGATGAGCGACGTTATTTGTGTACTTCAGAACGAACTCGAAGGATGCGACCAGAAAACTAGAACTAGACCACTGGATCTCAAATTAACACGCA